GTGGTATCGAAGAATCTACCAGTGGCGATGGATAAGAAAGAGCAATGGTACGGTACGCCGTACCACCAGCAGCGACTGGATGAGGAGTTTCTACGTCGATGTGAAGAAGTGCCGCTGGACGAGCGACTGCATTTTCCAAACGAGAACGAGTTCATACCGACAAACTTCAACCTGGTCCAGGGCAAGGCGGAACCTCTGCCGTCTCTTCTGACACATGAGCCGGCCATGAAGGTATGGCATAAGCAAGACGACGAGTTTCTGCTGCCCAAGTGCTACGTGCTTGTGCATCTGCGATCGCCGACGGCATACGCTGATCCTCGCCACGCTGCCCTCGCTCAGATGTTCGTTGAGGTGGTCAGGGACTCGTTGACCGAGTATGCATACAACGCCGAACTCGCCGGGCTTCATTACAGAATTGAAAATGGTCGCTACGGCTTGTCACTATCGATCAGCGGCTACAACGAAAAGCAAACGGTGCTACTACAGAAAATCGTCACCAGAATGACCACGTTGAAAATTGACCCAAAGCGATTCGATCTCCTCAAAGAGAGTTACATTCGATCTCTGAAGAGTTTTGAGATGGAGCAGCCTTATCAGCACGCCGTGTACTATGTGAACCTTATCATGTCTGAACAGGCTTGGTCGAATGACGAAATCCTACATGAGGCCAAAGGTGATCAGACCATCTGATTTTCACGTTACCGCTACTCAGTGATCCATTTCATTGTCTACTTTGTTTTTTTTTGCTTTCAGAGCTGACCGTGCCTCAGTTGCAGACATTCATCGGCGAGTTCTTTGCCGCCTTAAATGTAGAAGTACTTGTTCATGGCAACGCGCTTCCAAACGTGAGTATTTATTTAGTTATTGTATTTTTTTAAGTGTTGCTGTTGTTATGTACTGCGGTGATTTGAACGACTATTACGATGCACTAAAGCTTGTTCCTGTTGTTTGATAGCTCAAGTCGTACGGTTTTATTTTTTAATGATGTTTTAAATTCTAATAAGGCAAAGTGGAGCGTGTAATTTTGATTACTCGCTAACTCTTCTTAAGCTGTAGTGGTTCAGTCTAAAAACGATTATTTGACAACACTGATTTAAAAATCGTTGATAATGTAAACTCAGAAAGACCGGCTTTCGGGTAAATTAATCTATTAAAAAAAGTCTTTTCGTCTCGCTTTAGTTTCATATTTCACAAATTGTCAAGATATGCCTACTGGAGTTATGGTCGCTGTAAAATGAGATAATGTTCGAGGTGCCTCCGAGCAAACTACTTAAATCCCTTAACGTACTGTACAAGATAATCTCTAACAGCTTCTACATTTTATATCGTGAAAATACCGATGGCTTAACATCAAAGCTAATGTCATCTGTCAGCCAGCTAACATCGCGATTCATCTCAGAACATGGCTTTAGCACAGCGAGCGTTTCGGTAATTGATACGGACAGCATCTGAGTAGGACTGTTCATAGAAAAATTACTTTGTTCTTGTACACAAGTGAACTATGCAGTTAATGCTATTCTTCGCTTGACATAATGGAAGGTTTCGTTGCACCCGATAATTGTCGCTCACTCCTTTACAAGTAATAGCTTCTGTAGCTGCGTCACCAGCGGCATTTCGGTTGGCTGTCGTTACCACGTATAAAGAAATTATTGAGTAGTTCAATGGACTTCGAATCGGAAAGTTCTTTAACAAGTGTTTAGTTTTTATCATGCATGCATATTCTTCATCGCCAAAGTCTTTAACAATTTTACATATATTTTGTTCAACAAAATTATGGCTTTTCACATCAAGCTGGATCCATCTACAAAGGACATTCTGTAACAACAATGTCGTTTGTTACTTGGGATGTCCGAAGGTGCAGATACGACCAACAGTTTTCTGATGCGTAATGTACTTCAAGCTGATAGATTTAAATGTAATTCCGTCTGACAAAGAAAAACCATCAGCTTCAAATACAGTACACATCAACAATTCGTGACGTTTAAGGTTTATTCTTCGGCGCTGATGGCGTTTGGCGTTTCTGTGGCATCAGTTAGGAGTGCTTTATTTTGCACGCAGAGTCTAGAGCCATATAGGAAGCATTACCAATCTTCTGTTATTATTTTTTTAAGTGATAATCATTAATCGGCCTCTACAGAAAGAACGGCAAGTGACATGACCAAGACGTGAAACCATGAGTACGAGTTCTACTAGACTCAAAACCTAATCTTACTGTATTTGTCATCTTGGATGTAAACCATGGCCCGTAAAACTTGCGACAAAATTTATATGATGGAAAACACTGGTAAGCTTATATCTTGATGTAAAAGAAAGTTCAGTTTGAGAAGTTGCCAATATCAACTAGTGGCCTGATGTGAGCGCTTGTAATGATAAATCCCGAAAGTATTTAGAATGTGTAGCAACTGAATGAATTCTAACAGACTTTAGCATCAAAGAATTTTTTGCTTTGAACATTTTAGTAAATAAAATTTGCCGGCGTTCTCTTTCTTTATCGACAGAGGTAATGCATCAACGGGAGCATAAGTAACCGAAAGTAGTTAAAGTATTCACTCAAAGCACGGTCTCTTGTGCATCTGGAAATATGATTGCCATAATAGCGGATATGTATTTTCATTCTATTGCATCTTCTAACGATCATTTATCAAAAATTCGCGTTGCTGTCTAGTCTAGCTTTAGATTGCCTTTCACGGTGATGACAACGACAGCCTTCATGCAATTATATTTTGTGTTGTTCTTTGATTCCCTATTTAACGCGGTATTAGTTCAAGCTTTAATGAAATCTTTTCATGACAATGCGTGTTACCTGCTTCGGTATGTTCCTTCAAACTTAGGGGTTTTTAACTGCTTTGTTAATTTACCAATAGAATGCTGCTTTGTTTGACTTAAGGACGCAATCGAATTGGCGAAGCTGGTGCAGAGCATAATTTCGAAATCTTACGCCACTCGACCACTGTTTCACAGCCAACTGCAGAAGAACAGAGAAGTACATCTCACCGAAAGTGGGTGCACTAATGAGATTGCAATTTACAGCCGCTGGTAATCAGAAGTTCTTCAACGTCGAAGTTTTTAATTTAGATGAAAGTTTCGTGTTCAAGTCGGAGAATAAGATTCACGACAATTCGGCTGTAGATGTGCTACTTCAAACTGGCGTAGAAGACACGCGACAAAACATGTTAGTCGAATTGGCGGTACAGGTTCTCTCTGAGCCATGTTTCGATCAGCTTAGGACCAAAGAACAACTGGGTAACAAGTGAAAACGAGTATAATGGCAAAGGCGATTGTGAAAGTTTCAAATTTTTCAGGCTACATCGTGTTCAGCGGCGTGCGCCGGTCGAACGGAACCCAAGGCATCCACTTCATAGTACAGTCGAGTAGGACACCTGATTACGTCGAGCAGCGGGTCGAAGCGTTCATCGAGCAGATGATGGTAATTGCGTCTACTTAAGTCTTTATGCCGTAACCCGCAAGCTAGACCCGTATTCAAATACTTGATATCTTTCTTCAGTACCTTACTAGAACTAGTTTGATATCTTCAGCATCGCATTAGAAGGGAAGCCGATGTTTCGACAGCCTTTCTGGTTGGACTAATTTCCTTCCGATGACTCGCAGTTTTCCAAGGCACATTTTTCAGAAATAGTGAGCTTTTCATTTGCTAGCGCAATTCGTTATTAACTAGAAAATATTTTCTATTACGCAGGTCACAATAAAATCACTTCTCGCATTTATAGCGCTTAGTTGTACAGTACCTTGTTTCCAGTGAAGGGATAGAATTTAAGCGGGCGATAGCTCCACAATACTGTAGCAACTACAATGCATGGATGCACAAGCATACCATTTTTTCAACGTACAAACAGCATTTTTGAGCATCGGCTAAAATTCTTTTAACTGAAAAAGTGACATGTGCTTGTTATCCTTAATACCGGCAAGTACCTGCATCAAAAGGTGTAAGAGTTCTGAACAAAGTGGTAATTTTTCTAACTGTCATCGATTAGTAAACTTTCAGACATTTCAGAATGAAAGCAAGTCGGTAAGATTCTCTCCGTAATCATAAGGCTGACTCAAGAAAAAAGACATTAAAACGTTAGATAATAGTTGCTCCCATGTGGGTGGATATTAAGTAAATGAGAGTTTTGTGCCTGTTTCTAAGTCTGCAGCGAGTTATGGTACGCTCATCTGTTCTTATTTGGCTTAAACTGCAGTAAGAATGTTGAACTTTACTATAAAAGTTCATACGTCTGCTTTGAGCATTGTTCATTCTTCTTTGTCTTTTATTCTTTTACGTACTTATAAGTATAAGTTTTTTAGCATTCCATGAGAGTAGATCCAAAACATACTTCGCCAGTGTCAATAAAGAGAAACATCATAAAGAGAAATATCTTTGATCGTCTGAGTTTTCCAACCGAAGATAGTTCTCGATCCGTGTCTTATGAACTCTCTGCATATTCCGGAACCTTTAATTGTGATACTGTGAAAGATTGTAGTTTTTATTATTATCTCTTCACCGCTGAATAACGTTAACTTTAGATGGCAAAAAATACTTCCGTCAGACGGAGGCTGCATTAGCTATTTAACTTGTTAGAATGGGTTTTCTGAGAAAGCGTGCAGTTGCACTTTGTATTCTACGTACTGTTCATGATGAGAAACGTAAGTAGTGAATGAGGTCAAGATTTAAAAATTCAGTTTTGCAACTCCGTGGTCTAAACGTTATCTCCGTAACCAAACCTGTTGGGTTTTACCACTATAATTAATTGTCGTACCAATAGTATAACGCTATGTGTACTGCTTTAAGGGTGAGATCAAAAACATGTCAGAGGAAGAGTTTCAAAAGCACAAATCAGCACTGGAAACGAAACGGCTTGAGAAACCAAAAAAGTTGTCAGCGCTGGCAAAGAAATATTGGTCAGAGATTTCATCAGAACAGTACAATTTCGACCGAGGTAACGATGTTGAGTCGACTGACTTTCTACTTCAGTAGCGTAAGTGATTGTTGATTATAGACAAGGTCGAAACTGCTTATCTTAAAGGCATTACGAAAGAAGATCTTGTAAAGTTCTATGAGGTAAGATAAATACAGACCAGTATTAGAGTAACTGACTGGACCTCGTAGAGTGAAATTTTGGCAAAAGCACAGAATCGTCGCAAATTAAGTGTGTTTGTCTACTCTACTTCGGCGGCCAAATCGAAAGCGGACAACTCGTCAACGGAACAAGCAGCTGGCAAAAAAGTAAATACCTTAGCTTGCTGATAACTACTCATCGCCATTCGTTGTTTCAGGCTATCGAAATCACCGACCTCAATGTGTTTAAAAGTAGTCTGCCACTTTGGCCTTTGGCAAAACCGTATATGGAAGTACCACCAAGCGGAATAACGTATTTCAAGAACATAAAATAATACTTTACTCTAACCCATTGTTGGCATACTTGAATTTTTGTAATAAAACTAAATAATATTGTAGTTACTGTTACCACTAATGGATCAATTATGTACGATCATTTTAGAAACAAGCACTGGATGAGCTAAAAGAAACAGCGCATTGCCAAATGACACATCACGGGGTTACAAAGACCATATCATCTCGAAAGCTTTCGTTATTCCGACGTCAGTGTAGTTGAAATGGAGAAGACCAGCAAACATAAGAATAGACACCACATAAACCAGACCATTCACTGTCTTGGACAGCGTTTCACCGAGTACAAAAGGTCGGCCATAATCTCCCATGACGACATGAAGTCCCCTAGAAAATGTTCACCAACTGATTCTTTATGTGTAACAGAATATCTGAAATGCTTTTATTTCAATAGGCAAAGCATCTGCTGAAATCGAATCAACATCTTCGTCGATCCTACATATCATAGTTGTAATTTCCTTGTGGGATTGGCAGTTTATGCTGTGCGT